ATAAAAAACATAAAAAGGCATTTTTTGGTTTTAAGCTTGTTAATCAAACTAATATTTATTTACAACTAAAGAGAAAGTCTGAAAGGAATCAAGAGTGAAAAGGACAGAAATCTATTCATTTCCACGATCCAAAGATTTGCGGGTTATCAAAAATCTATTGTTATGTATTTTTCTCTTTATAGGATGTTGATATATACCAGAAGCAACATTTTATTTACCATATTTTTTAGGGGCAATTACAAAAATACCACTTTTTGTGTGCACATTTGTAAGAATGCCACTTAGGGGTGTTCGTTTACAAAAATAACACTAATTATAGATTTATAAAAGCTTATATCTTAAAATTCTAAACCTTAAAAAATGTTTTGACACCTAAAACCCCCTAAACACTCAAAACTAAACCCTAATAGAACATAATTAATTCAAATATAAATAATTTAAAGAAAAAATAATTTTGAAAAAGTGGCATTTTTGTAAAAATTTCAAAAATGTGGCATTTTTATAAAATAACATTTAAAAAGTAGTATTTTTAAAAATTTCTCTATTTTATTTTCTATAGAACAAGACATGTTAGATATTGATTAAGCCTAAAATTCCTTTTATGGACGTAATAGAGACATATTATATAACTCTAATGATCTTTCTAACAAATGGTATACTTGACCAATCATTCTATCGAAAATATCTCATTTTTTCTTGAAAATGTCAAATAACAAGAATATATAAATTTCAAATCTTGTTTGACGACAAAAAAAAAACAAAATATACATAAATCAAATCTATCAGGTGCGTCTATTTGTAATCATTAATAAAGATTTATTCTAAAATTGTGTCCCAAAGGCGGCATAGTCAAAATTAAGGGACTACTAATTTACACCAGATGAAAACGACAAAAAAGGGGCTTAAGGACGATGTTGATCGTCGTCGGAACTTGCTTGATAGGGAGCTGAATCTTCTAACCTTTGAAAAATCTTAAAAGACTTATTCAAAATTTGTGTCCCAAAAGGTGGGATAGTCAAAATAAGGCACTACTAAGTTACACCAAATG